GTCTTCAGCAAGTCATGCTTGTCTAGAACTAGAAGAGGCAACTAACAGGATCAGGTGGTCAGGCTCGTTGACTTGGTTGACATGTCATATCTTAATTTCATTGATGCTCATTATGTTGATCACTGACTTGTCTGATCTAGACTCAATTTCTACAGACTGTCGTCATATAGCTAGAACATTTCTGACTGTGGCATCAAACAACAATCAACAGGGGTGGAAATAACCAATTGCCCGATGTCCGAGTCCATTGGTTTTTTCTGTCGGGCAAGCAAATTTGTATATCACGCTGTACCGGTGTCCAGTTGACTTTCCAATGTTAATAATGTTGTTTATTTAAAAAATCGGCAAGAAAACGGACGGTATAGTGGAGAACATATCAGGGCAAGTGATTTTACATGTGCCACTGTACCGGAGTACACTAGCAATTTTAAAGTTATTTCCAACCCTGATCAAACATGTTTATAAAGTGAGATTCCATAAATTGATTAAACGTTGAACATAAGACTACAAACATACATGGACAGCTTTACGAATAATTTAATATTTATCCCTTGCTGCCAACATTATTTTTATTATCACCATCCTTATCAAAGACCACGTCATCAGCTTCAATACCTAAATCTCCCACCAGCACCATCCCAAACTCTCCTGGCTCAAAACTAGTTTACACGTAGTCAATCCTAGATACATTAACAAGACAACAGTCAGCTAAATATGGCCGAGTCATGGTACCACTACCAGTACCAAAGCCTGCATGTCCAACACCATGCCTCAGCAAAACAATACAAACTAGTAATCACTGGAACTATTTAAACCATGAAAAAACTTAGTTTACACTTTTAGGCCTATATTTACATGTCAAGCTAGGATTTGAGCACTGAGTCAATATGTACACATATTTAACCACTTATTTATAGAAAGGCCAATGCATAGTTCACTGAGTATTTCCTCAACTTGTTTCTATTTTATCATCCTGTACTATTATTTCAGTCAGTGAAGCTGTTGAAAGACGTTTTTCTATTCTATTTCAGAATATTTGCCCAATTATTTCTCTGCTTCAGTGTCATTTATTCCCTGTGGTAAAAATACAAAGTATATATACTTTCAGTTGTCCACTATACTGCTGACGGCGTTACTTTCACTGGCGTACATTTCAATCACGTACTGAAGTAAGACATGGTGAAAAGTGACATCATGTATATTACAAGAATAATTAATCTGTCATCCAATGATCACACAATTGACATTTTTCACATTTTGTTCCAGCTTAAAACATTTAATGTTGGAAAGCTGATATTGAATTTTAAATATTTATGAGATGATAAAATGCTTACTCGTGCAGTTTGCAATTTACAGTGAAAACATTCCGGCATGGGTTATTGATTAGTGCATGAATCCCAGCACCATGTACTGCTCCATGTCATTGATTGATGATGTGTGGACCACATGCCTTACATGCTATCAAAATATTCCATAAAAAGGTTGACTCAAAGGAAATATTCACGAGGGGTAAAGGGAGCTAATCCTTTATTACATCTCAATATTACTATCAGCAATCCTTCATCACTTATTACCCATAACAATAACCACAAGATCAGATGTAAAGAATCCTGAAGATGCAATCATTTCTAGATTCAGTTCTGTCTTCATCTTAAGCTAATATATAAATAAACGGGCTAAGTGTGGATGCCTGTGTATCAACAGTTTTTTTGTTCCAAATCAAGAACTTTTATAAATATTGTTTTATTTTAAGAGGTCAGTCCAAAGAATGACCAATTTTGCAGGATTTCATTTGAAAACACATATTCCTCTTCATGATATCACTGATCAACAATCTTAATTTGTCTACTGATAGAAAGGGATTAATGGTCATGGTTGAAAGACACACCAAAACAGACATGCTAACTCAATAGTCAATAAGATAAAGTAATCAATTGCTACTGACCTCGATTAACAGGTATACACACACTGATCATCAATTGCAATCCACATAAAATCTATAATTGCTCCCACTGTACCCAGATTGCTAATTCTGGCCCCTAATTTCCTACATAATCTGATAATTAGATGCTTATCTCGTTATCTGCTGAGGATGCGCTAAATGACATGAGTAATTAGTGTGAGTAATAAAGTGATTATGCATGGGGAATATACTGAATATAATGAAGCTATGTTTTAAAGTGTGCCAATCAATCTTTGTTCATCACAAAAGAAGACATCACAGGTAGGACATTGAATTCGTTCTGAGGTTACAGTTTATGTTATTATTGTGAGATAACAATAATAAAAATAACATTACAACTCTTCATACAGTTTAAAGACAGGAATACACTGTTCATCTGCACAGAATAAAATCATTTTAGATGTACTTTTCTGTTAAACTGAAATGTACATGTGACATGACCCGATCTGTCAACCGCGAAGAATGGGACGATATTGGCACCACTTCCGCCCACCGTTTGTCTATGAAAGGAAGCACCAATGTCTAGGCAAATAGCGTCCCTATAAGAAACGACTATGGACATGGCCTTAGTACCTGTAGTTTCATACCATACCACAAAACACAACAATGTGCACAGTGGTTGTTCCCCGGTTTGTAAGTGGGTGGTTGACGGCTGGGTTGGCAAGTGGATGAACGAGAATGCTAGGGGGGGATCGGCAAGGCTTTGCTGGCTATTAATCGGTCGTTTAGGTGATCAGAGAAAATGTAGACCCTTGCTTACCTTTCAGCCATCGTTGGCACCTAATTGAGGCAGGTAGTCCAATATAAGAATAGATAGAATGTCTATTTGACATAGTTCGGAAATCCAAAACACATCGAGACCGCCATATTGGCGTACCAAGATATGTACTATTTACAGGTCAACTATTTCTGTAATTAATCCTCTGATACAATTGTGCTTGCATATTATTTATGAACACTGTTTACAACATGTTTATCCGATAAACATCCCTAGTACACTTTATGGTTTTTCACTAAACAAAATCGGTTATTGTGGATATAACTAGCGCAAAAGCAAGAATTATTCAGCAGACCGTCCTCCAGATTCTGAATGCGTTTCTTGACCTACAGGAGTTACCGGCCTTTATGTACAATCTCCAGGAAGGCTACCAAGCCTGGTGTATTGATCACTGAAAGTAATTTAAAGTGTGAATATACCAACGATCTGCAGTCACCACTGGAGCAATCAACATATTATGTGAACCATGTCTTGAACAACTAAGAGTCCGAAAATATTACCTTTGGTTCTGACTGTTTCACATCCCGCTTTTGTGGACTAACAAGAAAATAATCCATATTGGAACACAGTGATGAAAGTTCAAACATGGAAATAATGTGGTTTTTCAGTCCCCAGAAGTATCTAAAAAGATTATATACATGTGTTTACCTAAATGCATTCATATTGCATCGCTTATTCGACAAAATTATTCGACAGTAATGTGTACGATTAATGTTGCTTGTCCCCGTTGTTTGTCGTTATTTTGAGGACTCTTTTGTAATGCTGCACATGTATATGGACATGAAAATACAATGTCAAGTTATTTTATCCACGACCTATCCACGATACAAAGCTTTGATTAGTTTTCATGCACTCGTTTCAGTACTAACGACTGTTGTTTCCATGAAAACAAGGCTTTCTGAGAGCGTGCCATAGAAATCTCATCCGGTCGATTCGAAGCCTTGTTATTTAGCGCATTGAGCATATGCGCGCTGTATAAATATCCTATAGTAAATAATAATAATTTACATCGTGGTTTATCTGCACCGCAGATAATAATTTAAAATAATGATGTGTATATGTTCAATATTGTCGAACAGACCGTGAGCTATGTTTATAATGCTATAAACAGGCAGTGAGACACATGTACTCTCATTCCAAATTAAAATATTGTTTGTTAGGTTTTCGTTATTTGGTAATGTTTTCATTCTTGTGGGAATAATTGTTGCAGAAGCCCACCTATTCCCATGAATTAAAATCCGGTTAGAATTGGTCTTAAGCAACCCATATTTGTTTCAAGAGGCTAATAACGGGATTAGGTAGACAGACTCGCTGACATGACTGAATGGTTTATCCTCACTGTGCAGGCAGCCTGTAGGGGATTAGGATTAGTGATGTTATACGAAAAGGGATCGTCTCATGAACTAAACTAGGAGAGATTCCAAACTGATATCAACTCACCAATTATCCATGTTCAATTAATGTCACTGAATAAAACTCATGTTGTTAACAGCTATATATCCCAATATATCGATGATGAAATCCTGCGTCAGAAGACTCTGCAAACGGTGTGAAAACTTCCAAGGAATTTACTGATCCTATGTCACATTTACTTGGACTTTAATTGTAACCCTTGGAGTCCTACACGCGACTGCATGCGACTGTGTGAGGAATCTATTTGGACTGATACCAACTGCTTCGTGCATATGAAATACACCTAAGGCAAAAAAAAAAAAGCAAAAACAAAAAAAACAAATATCGCAGACGCTGTAAAATGTGTTTGAAGTATCACCATTACGTTTTCATAGTTTGAACTGTCCAGCCTTTGGTTTTAAACGTCTTTTAAAGTCTTAAACATATTGAGAGAATTTAAGCGCTTTAACATTCTATGTTTATGTGATATTTCAGATTTGTATCTTAAACGCCCCTATGATATTCATATAGCTGCCTATCATAAACAGTATTTTCGTTTACATATTTACAAATTGGAAGTACTTACGGAAATGAAACTTCAATTAGATCTTCGGCAGAAACCCGTATATAACGTTTACTCTTGATATTAGGCGTCAAGGAAATAGCATATAATATTCAGTGACAGAAAGAAGTGTATACCTGAAAATAATTAAGAAACGGTAATTACGAGTTTTGTGGTTACACCCACCATTAGATTATATGTATATAAATCTGTCAGTTAAAAGAGAATATAATTTACATGTGCCGGTAACGCATTTCTCATATATTTTTAATATACCGGAAGTTGCAGGTGCGTGTTAGGCGCTTCCGGTTTGGGGAGACTTTTGTTTTGGTTCGCGAGTGGAGGTGTATATTGGTTTGGTAAGAATCTGTGTAAATATCTAATCTATACGTTGTTGATTGGAAGATATATGAAAACATAGTTATCAAAAATACTAATGAGCGACTGAGATTGAAACGCGATAAGTCAGTGTTTATTCAATTCAGGATATGCTCAGCCACTGTACCTCAGTTTTCGTGCATTATGAGACATGTTTTGGATTTGTTTATTATGTTTATATGGGAATCCTTTGGAACTCTATGAAATTATATGTTATGAATACTTTGACTAAAGCATAAATACCAAGTTCTACAAACCTTGATATTAAGAATGTTTATCTTTCTTCGTTTTGAAACATAATTATGTACTGAAAGCTTATGCCATACAGACTGAAGAATGATAGATATAAAACTATTCTCGATGTGAATAGTTTGAATGCATAACTAATTTTGGCAGCATGTGTTGCAAAGATTTGTTAGTGTGGTGGTAAAATGGTGACAAATAAATCTGATTTATTAAGAGAGGTGGCTAAACAACACAAATGGAACCAAGATTGTTGTGTAAAACTGTATGAAAAAATTGTAAATTACAAAAGTTTGATATTAAATGAGAGTCTATTACCAGAGTAATTGTTGTGGAATTCTATCTGGACACAATCTGCAAACTAACCTTGTTCATACAATTGAATTTCATCAATTAAATGGACCAGTAGGGTAGCCAAGTGGTTATTATAGCGTTTGCTCGTCACACCAAAGACCTGGGTTCAATTCCCTACATTAGTATAATGTGTGAAGCCCATTTCTGGTGTCCCTCGCTGTGATTTTGTTGGAATATTGCTAAAAGCGGCGTAAAACTAAACTCATTCACTCACTCACACACTCATCATCAATAAAAACAGGTTGTCAGAGTACTCTGCCCAGCATTGTTTCTGTATTTGTTATCATGTTTATTGCTAATCAGATATCATCTTGTTTTACAGTGCACATGAACGCTTGTAAGTTTTAACTATTTACCTATTCTGAACTGTTTCTTTCTGACCCCATTTAATTTTCTCACACTGCATGTTCTGTGTTGAGAACAAGAGGCATATCATTGGTAATATTAACTCGCCTGTTATCATGAACTGTGGATATTGCCACAGTTTTTAAACCAATAAGTGAATCTTTAAGGAACTCTGTTTCATGTGACTTTTAATTTGCAAATTGCATCTGTCCAGGCATTATGCACTGTGATAGAACTCATGTATGCCTAATGTCTGTATTTGAATAGTGTATACAGATTTGTACATGAGGTGAGGAGAGGTGAAACTGGGTTTAACGTCGTGCTTGAGAATATTTCGCTCATATGACGACGTGCATGCGTGTGTATGTGTATGTGCGGCTGCTTGTACTAGCCCAGACTTAAGCTGGTTTTATAGTGCTAGCTCACTGAGATACCATGCCGCAGTGAAGCATGAATACCCCACTCAGACACATTATACTGACTCCGAGCCAACCAGTCCTTGTTGTACCCATTAATGCCGAGTGCCAGGCAGGGACCAACAAGTACCATATTTTAACGTCTTTTGGTATGATGCGGTCGGGGAATCGAACCCACGACCTTTCGCTCTCCAGACGGACGCTCTGACCACTACACCACGGAGGCGGTGATTTGTGAAGAAATCTACCTTGGATAATTACTCCGTGTCATTGTACCGTGTACCTTGCTGGGTTTTTTTAGTTTGTTTGTTTGTTTTATTTGGGGAGGTGCACTGAAATAGACTTTGTGTGCAGATTATGATGACAGTCGAGATGTTTTCAGCATGTTTGTGACCTCATTATGTATACAATAGTATCTACATCTCATCTCTACATCTGTAATGAAACATATCATGCAAATCTTTCAGTATGTTTACCATAAGATTATTTCTTCAAATAAAACAAAACATTGATACTGTATGAACTCCCATATCAACAGTGGTTGCTGCACAGTTCAGCAATGTCAAAGGCACAGACCCTCCCCATAATTCTTTGATTGTTCAAATATCATGACATATGATCCTGTGATACTGATAATATATATAATTTTACATTTCTGCTATTATGTGAATGTGAATGTGTCCACTGACCATACCTGGTTCGAACAGAACTTTGATGCTGTTCATGCAACTATTTCACCTCATACATTTTTAACAACTGCCTGTCGATAAGTTAAAAGTAATTCTAATTCATGTTCTGTAAACCACATCAATCTGGTTCCATATTGTGTTTACCCATACTACTAACCTGTTTGTTTTGTGTCTTATTGTGGCAATTAAACTACCAATCAGCTCTTTACTAAAGAAATTCTGTAAACTAAGAAACATTTGGCTATGTTTATGTTGTTAAATGTGCACTCACCAATAAATAATGCAGTACTTATTGTATTTACAATATAAGTTGTTTGCTTCTCTCGAGGGTAATACGGTCTGATGTACGCCTCTATGTAGCAGTGTCACCCGAGCTGGTAGGCGAGGTATGACACTGCTACAAAGAGGCGTACATCAGACCGTATTACCCGAGGGAGTAGCATACAACATATTTATCTTACAGGCATGTTAAATGTACAAAGTATCATTTTATTTTATGTTAAAGATCGCTACCAACTATATGACATGCAAACAAAATGCTGTCTGCCTCTCGACTGGATTTTTAACATCAGTGAAACATATTCTGACAAGCATAAAACTGCTATAAAAATTGTTAATTATGTTTCAGCTGAGTGTTCAAACCACTCAATGTATAAATAGCTTAAATAAAGCAGTGAAAGTCGGTAAAATAAATCTGTACAAAGTGAACAGCTGATCGAACGTTTTTCAAACTCCGGGAACGGCATGCATCATATTATGACATCATACGATTGTTAGAGCTTCAGCTTCTCAGCGGAGAGCTGAGCGGTTACCGTGGCAGCGGGTAATATTTTTTCCAGTTGTCACCCTCCTGGGAGTTTTAAATGTTGTTAAACCGTCATTGACCAATGAAATTAAAGTATTTTACATGAAGGTAAGATAATAGTTATTCTGTCAGGGTTCTATGACATGTAAGGAACAAAAAATTCTTAAATTATCTCCAAGCTGTTGGAGTTCCTGGTTAGACAAATTCCCCAAGAACTTTCGCTGGTTGCAAGAGGTGACCAAATGGAATGAGTTGTCTAATTTGATGACTTATTTGATAGTGTGTTTTTAGCCTCTGATGGAACCCGCAAAGAATTGGTCTTCAGTAACCCATGCTTGCCGTAAGAGGCGACTAACGGGATTGGGTGGTTAGGCTTGCTGACTTGGTTGACACGTGTCATCTTATCCCCGTTACATACCTGGTAGAGTGATGCTCACTGATCACTGGATTGTCTGGTCCAGACTTGATTATTTACAGACCACCTCTATATATTGCAGAGTGAGGCGTAAAACTAAACACACTCATTGGAATCTGTGGACTCCTTTAGGCTTCGCTTTTTGACAGAAGATCACAACAAGGACTTTTTTACTTTCACTTAATTTTGAATAGAATCCTAAACACGATAAACGTGATATGCCTGTCCTCAATCAATCAGTTTCGAGGACATACATGATTTCCTGTTTTGTTGGTCCAGTGAGAAGACTTAAGATGAATCTTGGCACGGACAAGGGTTCAGAAGAAGTAACAAAGGAAGAGTGGCTGGAGAAACTCCAGGATATTCACATCACTCGGGCAGACATGAACAAGCTCATCATGAACTATCTCGTTACAGGTACAGTAAACTGTTTATAACAATATGGGCATAACTAACAAACCCGCCGAATTGATGGGTGTCTTGGTCATCTATTGCAATACAGAGGTATTCTATCCATAAAGGGGCGATGGGGTAGCCTAATGGTTAAAGCGTTGGCTTGTCACGCCGAAGACCCGGGTTCGAATCCCCACATGGGTACATTGTGTGAAGCCCATTTCTGGTGTCCCCCGCCGTGATGTTGCTGGAATATTGCTAAAAGCGGCGTAAAACCAAACTCAGTCAGTCAGTCTATCCATATAAGATGTTTGTCTTCATCATACCAGCCTCTAAATGCCACTTAGAGAAGGAGGGTATCTCATAACTATGGTTATAAAACTCGCACCAAATTGAAGGATTTGTGAGTCAAAATGGCATAACTAACTACGGTTAAAATGACACATATGAGGGGTCCCTTTGAGTTCATTATGGCCATAGTTTACTGAACTCTTTATTGAAAATGTGCAGTAGTGGGTTCAATTCCTTCTACTAGGGTTTGTTAGACTCAGTATAGCAGTGTAAAGAATAATACTGAGCCTAAGTTTACTTACTGAGTTGATTACGTAAAGCCCATTTCTGATCTTCCATTTGAGATACTGCTGGACTACTTCTAAAAGTGAAGTGATACCATACTCACATAAAGAATAAGTTCCTGCTGTCGGAAGGACATTTTCAACAGCAAAATATCAAATACTTTGTGGTAATGTCTACTTTGTGAGGCCGGATATAAATTTACTTTTGCACAGTAAAAAACATTAACTGAAGATGGAAGTACTCATCTTGTTGGCACACTTTTCTACCAAAACATCTTTATGAGTTGCCTGTTGATGTTGACAAAGATATTTGTATCCCTGGAATATATATGTCACTTAACTAAAACTGACTTACAGATAATGACACAAAGCCGTTCACATTTATGATTTACAAGCAAGTAAATCATATTGTGATATCAACTCAGAATTCTTTATAATCATCATCAAATTCATTGAAATTTTAAAATCATATCTTATTTTGCCAAAGATTCAGAGTTAAAAACTATGCTTTATAACCATTCTTGGTAGATAGTGCCAGTACTGGTAAGTGTGCTGTAAAGCCCAGCTCACCTACCTCATCTGTAACTGTGATATTGTTAACCATTCTCATATAAATGGATACAGGAAGGGTACCATCTGTAGTGTATTGGAAGGTGTATTGATATTTATTACACTGTTTGCAATGAGTGAAATGAAAGAGAGCAGTGAAATGTCAGATGACAGCAATCAAAGGGAGACAATAGAAGATCAGTGAAATTATCCCCCCTTTATGTGTTGAGATAAGCGTTTCAAGAGGTATCAAAAAGCATTGTTTCTGTCCTTAATGTCATAAGCTTGTTTTGATTATGAATGTGAATTATTCTTCAGAGGGATTCAAGGAGGCAGCAGAGAAATTCCGTCTGGAATCTGGCATCCAACCATCTGTCGACCTGGACGAGTTAGACGATCGCATCAAGATCCGTGAAGCCATACAGAATGGACACGTCCATGAAGCAATCTCACTAGTCAACAATCTGTACCCAGAGTTGTTAGATAATGACAGATATCTTTACTTCAGGCTGCAGGTTAGTGACTACTAGGGAATGTGAGGTGAGGTGAGGTGAGATTGGGTTTAACGTCATGCTTGAGAATATTTCGCTCATATGACTACTTGCATGCGTGTGTATGTGTATGTGCAGCTGGTTTTATAGTGCTAGCCCACTGAGATACCAAGCCGCAGTGAAGCATGAATACCCTACTCAGACACATTATACTGACTCCGAGCCGACCAGTCCTTGTTGTACCCATTAATGCCGAGCACCAGGCAGGAACCAACAAGTACCATATTTTAACGTCTTTTGGTATGACGCGGTCAGGGATCAAACCCGCAACCTTCCGCACTCCGGGCGGACGCTCTAACCACAACACCACGGAGGCGGTCAAAGCAGGGAGTATCCCCATCACCTATTATTGTGATGTCTGGCCAATGGTGATCACTAGATTGTCTGGTCCAGACTGGAATATTGCTGAGTGCAGCATAAAACTAAACTCACTCACTCACTCATTGCGGTGTCTGGCCAATGGGGATCACTAGATTGTCTGGTCCAGACTGGAATATTGCTGAGTGCAGCATAAAACTAAACTCACTCACTCACTCATTGCGGTGTTTGGCCAATGGGGATGTGGTGTCTGCAGTGTGGGAGCTAGTTGACTGTCATGGAGGCTACATATATGTTTCACCACCATATCATTTACCACAGAAAATAAACATATTGGGATGCTTGCACATTCATATAAGCTGTAGGCATATTTCAAGGGGGTAGAGCATCTGATGTACTCGTGAAGATCCAGGTTAGAATTTGTCTTCAGCAACTCATACTTGTCTTAAGAGGCTTGTCAGACTTGCTGACTTGATTCATGTCATCGTATCTCAGTTACATAGATCGATGGTGATGCTGTTGATCACTCGATTGTCTGGTCCAGATTATTTAGAGACCACTGTGTGCGGCATTAAATGACAAACAAACAAAACAGTCTGATGTAAACTTTTTGTGGCAGTCAGTGTCACTCAGAGAGTGTATCAAACTGTTCCTCTTCCCTTCCAAACAAGACACAGACAAAGAATGAGATATCTTGTTTACATGACATCTGGTATTCTCTAAAATCTACTGAAAATAATGCCAAGAGTCAAGACGAGGATAGTTGATTCACAAGTGTTCATTCTGACTCTAATCTGTACTTTGTCAACAGCAACAGAAGCTGATTGAGCTGGTGAGACAGAAGGACGTAGAGGGTGCCCTGGAGTACGCCCAGACCCACCTGGCAGAGCGAGTCGAGGAGAACCCGGAGGTTTTGTCGAGCTGGAGAGGACGCTGGCGTTGCTGGCCTTTGAGGACCCCGAGAACTCACCTTTCGGAGAACTGCTACATCCATCTCAGAGACAGAAGGTAAGAAACAGGGGAAGAAATAGCTGTATCAATTTGGGACATTTCCTAACTTGGACCATGGAGTTGTCCACAGTCACTGGGTGAGAGGCTGTAGGCCACCCCATATCTATACTCATGGAAACAAATTAGGGAACACATGGGTGTACACGTGTTCCTTTATTCTGTTCACAAGGTATGCTTGCACTGTGAGTGAAATTCTGGAAATTAATAAAGGAACACTTTTACTTTCATGTGTTCCCTTATTTGTTTCTATGAGTATATAATTGTATGTGGTAGATGAATATAATGATTTGAACACAAAGTGGGAGGCTGACTAGGCTGGTGAAAGGTTGTCACTGGTGGTTTAAGAGGTTGCTTATGTACAGATGGAATAATGTTGACCGTGGTGTAAAACATTCACTATGGTTGTTGCCGTGGGTCATTAATATTCAAACATTCCTTATACATTTTTTTTTTCATTTTGAGACCATTGTGATATGAATGGGATATTGCTGAGTGTGACATGGAATAACTTTAAACCAGTCCAGATGAGATGTTATTTCCATCCAGTGTTTGCTCTTAACCCTGAAAGCTGCATGCCCTAAGGACCCAGAACCATAAAAAGTTGTGGGACCTGATCAGAATGTATAGGTCCTATATTTTAATATGGAAATAATGCTCTTAGTTATTGGGGATGAAAAAGCTGTCGGCCATGACGACCAGCAGAAAACAAAGCTGTGGGTCCAAGTGGTTTTCAGTTGGCTTTGGGCCTAAGGACCAGCGTTAATTTTGAACTCTGTTTCCATCCTAGAATTTTTAGCATTATTTGTGTAATTGCTATGATTGTGACCTGTGAACATCCGGGTTAAAATTGGTCTTTAGTAACACATGCTTGTCGTAAGAGGCGACTAACAGGGTTGGGTGGTCATTCTCACTGACTAGGTTGACACATGTCATCGTATCCCAATTTCTTACTCATTCAATACTCATGATGTTGATCACTGGATTGTCTGTTCCAGATTCATTTATTCAGAGACCGCCATCATATTGGTGGAAAATTGTGCAGCATTAAAAAACAAACGAGCAAAATGCTATGTGAAATCTGGAACTTTGAACATTCATTCATCATTCTTCCATTCTATGTCCATGACATTTTTCTAATTCACTTTTTACACCAGGTTGCCAGTGAACTGAATGCTGCCATCCTTGAATCCGATTCCACTCCCAGACTGGCCAATCTCTTGAAACTGTTGCTATGGGCACAAGAGGAACTTGACAAGAAGAAGGTGAAATATCCCAAAATGACAGACATTGCCAAAGGAGTCATTGAAGATCCCAAATGACTATGCCGCCATTCTGTATATCAGACTTATTTATAATGGCAGTGCCAAATCTGATCTTTGCCTAGCTGAAGCCAAGGGTCATCATTCACTTCTTACACAGTGGAAGTTTGCTTTCGTTTATGTCGGATAAGAATCTTCACTGAATGTTGCATGTTCAAAACGGAGATCTCCTGTGCGACATTGCCGCCGAGTTGGAGGTGTGATTGTGGATGGTGTTCATGACACTTTTCGCTTATATGGCAGCTGAGAATTTCATCTCTTTTGGAGGAGTTTGCTTTCTGAAGTTCCTTCTTGCCATTAATCAAGATCAGTATTGATGGCTAATGTTTCTATGAGGTCACTTTTGTATACAAACCATAATTTGTGGGGAACAGTCATGTCATTGCAGTCAAACTCACGTCATACACGTCTTAATTACTTGACCAGCATTTATGACAAATAATTTTCAAAGACATCCTCTTATCATTTGTGCTACTGAAAAGAAGGTAAAGAACATGATTCTTTCATATTACAGTGGAAGCTGTGAAAACCGGCAGCTGTCCAAGCCGACAAGTTGTCAACATCGGCATAAAATCTCAGTCCTGTCCATGGCTAGTACATTTATCATCATTTAAAAGCTCTGCAATCTGGCAGCTGTCAATTCCGGATCTCGGCATGAAATGAGCTAACTGAATATGTGTTTATACAGTAATCAGCTCTGTCTAATCCGGCGCGTGGCAAGGAGTCAGTAATCCTGTGTTGAAACTACATGGTTGCCGCCAAAGATAATTTAATCTTAGTTCAGTATGGGTGTACTTGTACCACCTTATACAACAATGTATATGAGAGTGATAAAACTGGTTTAGTTCTAGTTGTAGGTAACCATGTCAGCTCTACATTCCGGCACGCTGTCAAAACCGGATTATTTATTCAGTCCCAACCAGTGCTGGTTTAGACAGCTTCCACTGTAGCTTCCACTGTTGATCAAAACCGGATTATTTATTCAGTCCCAACCAGTTGTTTAGACAGCTTCCACTATAGTTGATCTGTCAAAACCGCCCCAACCAGTGCTTTTAGACAGCTTCCACTATAGCCCTAGCTATAGGAAACAATCATGTTCTTAACTTCATTTGAGTAGTATACTTCTAATGTTTTGAAAATGTAGTGTCTTTGAGTGTAGGTGTTCAGTAGAAAGATAATGGATACCAGCTACAAGTTTACTATATACTAGGCGATCTTGGAGAGTTCCTTTGGGACACATGATATTATCAATGCTATACTGATGTTTTAATAGCCTTACATAATCATTATAATGTTGTGATTTGCTTTTGTAACCATGGCAACAGTTTCACAGTTTGTTTTAAAATAGGAATGTGGTAATAACGTACACGTTTGAGGAAATGGAGATTGCTAAATATTAATCCATACAGGTAAAGGTGAACAAGATTTTGCACGGATATGCTTTACGTGTGTAGATGAGAAGCCCCCATGGACCATTCCACTTCTGCCCTCCCATACATCCTTTACAGGCAAATGTCAAGAACTGAACATATGTTTTCAATTAATTGTATTTCTAAAAGGATCTGAAGAGCTAAGCATTGTATGAGAGCTTGCAATACAGTACAACCAGAAATTATTGAGAATATAAAGATTGTAAATTTTGTTTTTTTTCACTCATTACTCACATATTAAATGTGAGTATTAGCAGAACATAACTCCAGATTCAAAGACAGGTGAACAGTAAGTATTTTGTCAAGTCAATTCTCAATAATTTCTGGTCATACTCTATGATAATATGGCAATATGGCTTGTATTACGCCATACCACATTGTGTACTGACATCATTGTTGTGTTCCTGTAGACACAACTGCTCGATAAATCAGCATCTGTTTGGATACTATTCAAACCAACATTTGCCTAAATGGTTTGAATAGGCATTTCCAATAATGCTATCACCTTGTCTTGCTTCTCTGCCATTCTTACAGGTGGCACTATTTTACTGCCACCATTACGCAGGTAACTCCATCAGTTTTTGTTCTATTTATAGAACATCATGATCTCACAAACTGACAATTTAAGTGTCATCTGTACCTACATATAGATGACATCGTAGGTATCTAAGAATCGGTACAGCCCTGAGACTGACTTTAACATTGAACATAATATCATCATAACCTTACGGTTTGTACAGGGCTGTGCTCACTGGGTGATCAGATAATCAGATTTCAAGAATAATATATAAATATGACTTATTTATTCTTTGCTGTGGATGAATGGCTTTAGAACACGTCATGTCTTGCTTTGAGGGGTGGTGGGGTTGCGAAGTGGTTCAAGCGTTCGCTTGTCACTCCAAAGACCCAGGTTCAATTCCCCACATGGGTGCAATGTGTGAAGCCCATTTCTGGTGTCCCCTGACGTGATATTGCTGAAATATTGCTAAAAGGGTAAAAAAAACTAAACTCATTCACTCACTCACTCACTCACTCTTGCTGTGTATATTGAAATGTTGAAAGCACTTTAGAATCAACACTGTCTTTAATTACTACTTAATTTCCCTGCTCTATATCTTAGAAAATGGTTAGAAAATTTTGCTGAGAAAAAAGTACAAGTAAACTATTATGACAGTGGGTTACTGAAATCTTGCATAGAGTCACATAGTGGCACTGAGCTTTCACCCACGACATATTAACACAAAGGGACTGACAAACATGTCTAGAGTACAGCTCAAGTAGTTCTTGTGTAAGGTATCAACTGAAGAACAGTATGATTTATTCTTTAAATCAGGGTGCCATTGTACAAATCTATCTTAGCCCTAAGGTGATCATACTCCCATACCTTAACATAGACATAGACCGGCATATCACTAAGGTTGTTTTGGACAACGGCACAATGATTCCCAGAGCCCGTTCCATAATGTGATCATAGTACTATGACTGTCATAAGTTAATTTGATCGCCTTAGCGAGTTCGATCGCCTTAGTGATATGATGGCTTTGTGGAATAGGGGCCCAGATTCATTTACAGCTGGGTAACATAATGATAGTTTTTGACAAGATACAACTGGTGTTTAAGTCCATTATGTCAATCCAAGTGTATTTCGGTGCATATTCATCACATTAATGTTAAGTGGAGTTTTCCTTGGCAGAAAGAAGGTGCTTGCTGCTAGTATTTAATTGTGAGCAGTTACGTGTTGTGTATATAGTAATACCATTTCCACTGGAAATCATGATCCATGTTGTAATTATGTACAAAGGAACTATAATGTATATTTTAACATGTTTAATAAATTTATGTGTCACCTGTAATGTTTTGTTATGTTGCCATTTCTCCCTTTTTTATTCACTCATTGGTATATATCTGTGTCAAAACTGTTGATTTGATGTTACCATAAGGCCTCGGAATGGCATTTACACATACAGGGTGAAACTTTATGGATTTCAATTTCTGTAATAGGAGGTACACAAATTTTAGAGTTTATTCTTCTTCATCAGGTCAATATTTTATTGTGTCCCCACATCAGAGAGGTTTCACCCTTTATGATGTTACCATGTCTTGAACTATAGGGCTGTGGAGAAGCTCAGTGGTTAAAGCAATTGCTAATGACACCATACACCTGGGTTTGATTCCCTAATGGGTACAATATGTGAAGGTGAGGTGAAATTGGGTTTTACGTCGTACGTGAGAATATTTCGCTCATATGACGACGTCAATATGTGAAGCCCATTTCTGATGTCCCCCCTACAGTGATATTGCTGGAATGTTGCTGGAAGGAGCTTAAAACAAGGCTTTCTCACTGACAACTTAGTGCTGACTCGACTGTTGCCAGATAGGGAAAGAATCTTTAGGGAAAGGCAAAGGCACATGCTGCTCGAGGAGTGTTACCTGTATAATATTATTACAGGGTATTTAGGTGTCGTTGGAGGTGAGGTGAAATTGGGTTTAACGTCGTGATTGAGAATATTTCCCTCATATGACGACGTGCATACGTGTGTATATGTATGTGCGGCTGCTTGTACTAGCCCAGACTGGGTTTATAGTGCTAGCTCACTGAGACACCATGCCACAGTGAAGCATGAATACCCCACTCAGACACATTATACTGACTCCGGGCCGACCAGTCCTTGTTGTACCCATTAATGCCGAGCGCCAGGCAGGGACCAACAAGTACCATATTTAAACATCTTTTGGTAGGACGCGGTCGGGGATCGAACCCACGACCTTCCGCTCTCCGGGCATACGCTCTAACCACTACACCACGGAGGCGGTCAGGTGTCGTTGGAACCAGGCAGGGCTGGTAAACAACTACAAACTGTCATAACGTACGACTGAAAGACCAGCGGACCTTTACTAAGTACAGGTCATAATTATTTGTGGACTTTGTTTTGGTATACATTATTGGAAAAGCAATTCACACACTCAGGTGCCTTCGATGTAGAGGGGTGTTGAAGGCCCTTGAGGTTTTGTATAGTTGTTTGCATCTAATGAACCTGAAATCGTAATGTTAATTCTAGTAATGACAAGTACTCCCTGACCTTCCTACTTAACTTGACACACTGATCAGGGTATGATGCAACCAGCAAGGTCATACTCACTAATCACATGATCAAATTCTCTTGATCAAGAAGTATTGGGTTTGTGGATCCCCTCTTCCCTAGCGATCATACAAGGAATGATATCAGGAATGGGATACACAAATTGTACTCCAATGTCAACCAGGTTTTAGGCCTGAGAAAAATGCTTCTCCCACCCTAGACTAAAGCTTAGTCTCTGAATATATAGAATTTTGATATAAACAATTACTTTAAATTGAAAAGGAGCCCCAGTGAGAAGAGAGATTGAGAACCTGAACCTGAGAAATTTTGACTTGCTTCATTTAGAGCTTTAGTATTGCAGGAAGTGAAAATAATGTGGTTCAGGGACTGTGAGACAGGCCACTCAACTCCTCACATACACTAAAAAACACTTTGAAAAACAGGATGTTACCAAAATGGTTACCTGCCAGGCACAACCACTTCTCATGATAAATAAAACCCATTGCCTATCTAATCCAAACACAGTGGGGTGATACGCAGATTAACTCAAGCAATGGAACAAGACAGCAGTATATGCTGAGATTTTATTTCAGACTTTGTACAAGTGAGTGTAAAATACATATGGAATAGGAGAAGTATGTAATAGTATGTAATGTGCAATTTCATGAAAATGACAATACTCGGACATATTGTGTGTGTCACTTTGATGAAGAGTAATGTGAATATTTCATCAATCATTCTGCTTTCAAAGAGCTGCTTGGTAAATTAGACATATTGATGGCCCCACTTTGGGTACAACAAAAATGATATTCTGGACTATACTTCAAATATAACAAGTCACAGCCAAGCTTCAAAATACATCCCTGAACATCGTCATGTCCTACAAACATCTAATCGATGACAGATTTATCTCCACAATCTGATACATTTGCCCAGTGAGGGTACGGACACAGACTGAACATACAGCATCACTTCTGGCCAGATTAACATACAGCATCACTTCTGGCCAGATTGCACATACAGCATCACACCTGGCCAGATTGAACATACAGCATCACTTCTGGCCAGATTGAACATACAGCATCACTTCTGGCCAGACTGACCATACAGCATCACTTCTGGCCAGATTGAACATACAGCATCACTTCTGGCCAGATTGAACATACAGCATCACTTCTGGCCAGATTGAACATACAGCATCACTTCTGGCCAGATTGAACATACAGCATCACTTCTGGCCAGATTGAACATACAGCATCACTTCTGGATTGAACATACAGATTCACTTCTGAAGACTGAACATACAGCATCACTTCTGGCCAGACTGAACATACAGCATCACTTCTGGCCAGATTGAACATACAGCATCACTTCTGGCCAGATTGAACATACAGCATCACTTCTGGCCAGATTGAACATACAGCATCACTTCTGGCCAGATTGAACATACAGCATCACTTCTGGCCAGATTGAACATACAGCATCACTTCTGGCCAGATTGAACATACAGCATCACTTCTGGTCAGACTGAACATACAGCATCACTTCTGGCTAGACTGACCATACAGCATCACTTCTGGCCAGACTGACCATACAGCATCACTTCTGGCCAGATTGAACATACAGCATCACTTCTGGCCAGATTGAACATACAGCATCACTTCTGGCCAGATTGAACATACAGCATCACTTCTGGCCAGATTGAACATCTGGCAGCATCACTCACTTCTGGCCAGATTGAACATACAGCATCACTTCTGGCCAGATTGAACATACAGCATCACTTCTGGCCAGATTGAACATACAGCATCACTTCTGGCTAGATTGAACATACAGCATCACTTCTGGCCAGATTGAACATACAGCATCACTTCTGGCCAGATTGAACATACAGCATCACTTCTGGCCAGATTGAACATACAGCATCACTTCTGGCCAGACTGAACATACAGCATCACTTCTGGCCAGATTGAACATACAGCATCACTTCTGGCTAGATTGAACATACAGCATCACTTCTGGCCAGATTGAACATACAGCATCACTTCTGGCCAGATTGAACATACAGCAGCACTTCACTTCTAGCCAGATTGAACATACAGCATCACTTCTGGCCAGAGATTGAACAGCATCACTTCTGGCCAGATTGACAGCATCACTTCTGGCCAGACTGAACATACAGCATCACTTCTGGCCAGATTGAACATACAGCATCACTTCTGGCCAGATTGAACATACAGCATCACTTCTGGCCAGATTGAACATACAGCATCACTTCTGGCCAGATTGAACATACAGCATCACTTCTGGCTAGACTGAACATACAGCATCACTTCTGGCCAGATTGAACATACAGCATCACTTCTGGCCAGATTGAACGTACAGCATCACTTCTGGCCAGATTGAACATACAGCATCACTTCTGGCCAGATTGAACATACAGCATCACTTCTGGCCAGATTGAACATACAGCATCACTTCTGGCCCAGATTGAACATACAGCATCACTTCTGGCCAGATTGAACATACAGCATCACTTCTGGCCAGATTGAACATACAGCATCACTTCTGGCCAGATTGAACATACAGCATCACTTCTGGCCAGATTGAACATACAGCATCACTTCTGGCCAGATTGAACATACAGCATCACTTCTGGCCAGATTGAACATACAGCATCACTTCTGGCCAGATTGAACATACAGCATCACTTCTGGCCAGATTGAACATACAGCATCACTTCTGGCCAGATTGAACATACAGCATCACTTCTGGCCAGATTGAACATACAGCATCACTTCTGGCCAGATTGAACATACAGCATCACTTCTGGCCAGATTGAACATACAGCATCACTTCTGGCCAGATTGAACATACAGCATCACTTCTGGCCAGCATCACTTCTGGCCAGATTGAACATACAGCATCACTTCTGGCCAGATTGAACATACAGCATCACTTCTGGCCAGACTGAACATACAGCATCACATCTGGCCAGATTGAACATACAGCATCACTTCTGGCCAGATTGAACATACAGCATCACTTCTGGCCAGATTGAACATACAGCATCACTTCTGGCCAGATTGAACATACAGCATCACTTCTGGCCAGCAACATACAGCATCACTTCTGGCCAGATTGAACATACAGCATCACTTCTGGCCAGATTGAACATGCAACAGATTGAACGTACAGCATCACTTCTGGCCAGATTGAACATACAGCATCACTTCTAGCCCAGATTGAACATACAGCATCACTTCTGGCCAGATTGAACATACAGCATCACTTCTGGCCAGATTGAACATAACATACTGGCCAGATTGAACATTACTTTCTGGCCAGACTGAACATACAGCATCACTTCTGGCCAGATTGAACATACAGCATCACTTCTGGATTGAAGATTGAACATACAGCATCACTTCTGGCCAGATTGAACATACAGCATCACTTCTGGCCAGATTGAACATACAGCATCACTTCTGGTCAGACTGAACATACAGCATCACTTCTGGCTAGACTGACCATACAGCATCACTTCTGGCTAGATTGAACATACAGCATCACTTCTGGCCAGATTGAACATACAGCATCACTTCTGGCCAGATTGAACATACAGCATCACTTTTGGCCAGATTGAACATACAGCATCACTTCTGGCCAGATTGAACATACAGCATCACTTCTGGTCAGATTGAACACACAGCATCACTTCTGGCCAGATTGAACATACAGCATCACTTCTGGCCAGATTGAACATGATCAGTCAGTTTAGAAAACTGTTGTACAATATCTGTTTAAATATGGCTTGAACACTGGCCACACTAACTTAATCACTGGCATGATTTCAACATTTATAATATAAATCCTCCATTGAAGTAAAATGAAAAGGCTAGAATTGGAAAGCCATCATGTCTTCAGAAATATTTGTATGAAATGTAAATAAATTATATCCTGGGTCTTCTCACTGTAGCTCTGCTGTTTAAGTTACCAGTAAGGAGAAGAATTTCACGACAAATATTCAGTTGTGTAGCGTAAAATGTTCTCTATTCTTCGGCTCTTGACATCTTGAACGTCCAATCTTGAAATCTCGGTTATCGGCAACTCTGCTTTTTCTCTTGAAGATTACCGGTCCATATTATCACAAACAGCTTTCTAAAAGATTTTCCATTCTCTTAAATTCAATATTTGTGGTCCTCATAACTTTGTCTGGAACACTTTGTAAAGTGCAGCTCACTAAAAGTTGACCACAAAGCATCATTTTGCACCATCTGTCCCAAGTAGTTTACAGGAAAACATTGTTTGTCTCCCAGATGACAACTACCATCCCAACATGTACTCCTTGACCTTGGAAATAAAACTGTTATCTTTTTGTGGTAGCTGGTTTCCTTTTAAAACCTGAAAAATAAAATATATAACAATGTCATCAAGAAAGTACTATCGTAATCCTTCATCGGTGTGAATACATTGTTCTCCCACTTCTGAATACATACAGCAGCTTTGATGAGTTGTCCCCCTTTTTTTAACAAATCAATGAAGGTAAGGTTCAAGCAAGATGGAAAACAGCAAGTACTGATACAAGTGAGCACTGTTTATATTGCTACAATTATGTGTTTCACTTTACACTGTGTACAACAAATCATAGCCTTATGGGTCTTTAAAGTTTGCTGCACTCAGCAATATCACAGCTACATGACAACAGCCCGTATATATTAGTCAGATTGTGAAATCAGTCATTTCGTGAAATGATTAAGATGTCGCCAGTCTTTAGTCTTGTTATCACTCATCCACACTACCAGCATGTCTTTTATGTCGCCATTTACCCTTTCAACTGATCCTTGCCTTTGGGGATGGTGTGGCTTAAAATGTACTCATGCTAGTTCTGGCAAGACGAGTTGAATTTCTTTAATAACATGAGACGTAAACTCTGATCCATTATCAGATTGGAGGATCACTGGGGCACATTTATCAACACTACTTCAGCAGCCCTTTCAGTTGTCAGTGGTCTCAGTAGGCAAAACTTAGTCAAGTGATCCTGATGTACCATTATCCAGCGAAATGACGGACCCTCTTAGTCATTTCACAATCTGACTGTAACATATATAGTTGAATCTGGAGCAGACAATCCTACATTTGATATTGTGTACAATTGCCCAATGGAGAGAAGAATAACATGGGACAAAATCCCCCTGGCACACATGGGATGATACCTCTCTCTCATCATACCTCATAGTCATAGACCCGTGAAGATCCGGGTTAGAATGTTCCTTCAGTAACCCATCCTTGTCATAAGAGGCGACTAACGGGATCAGGTGATCAGGCTCGCTGACTTAGTTGACACATGTCATCGTTTCCCAGTTGCGTAGATTGATGCTCATGCTGTTGATCACTGGATTGTCTGGTCCAGACTCAATAATTTACAGACCACCGTCATATATAGCTGGAATATTGCTGACTGCAGCATAAAATTAAACTCACTCATACCTCATAGTCTGTCCGAGATGCCTGGTAGGCGGAAGTGAGGGGCCTGATAGGGGTGTGTTTGGAGGAGGTGCTTGTGTCCGCCAGTCGGGACATGTTCAGGGTGGGTGTGGCCATTGTGTCATCATTCTCCTTGTTGTCATCCATTACACTCTGCAATAAAAACAAACTGGAATTAATAGCATTCACAGCATACTGCTTGAATCATCTATTTTCTGCTCTCATAAGCCAAGATGTTACTGGCAAACAAGAATAAGTTAGACCAGTGCAAAGAACGCGTATACAAGAAGTAGGCGGTGCACGGCAATGAGCAAACCCATTTGGTTTGTGAAAGGTAGAGCAGATGTAGGCTAGTGCATGTGCATTACATGACGATGAAATTGACTCCGGCGTAGCTGCACACGCCTTGCTTCACCCATCGCACTACACTTGATCGCGGACCACTTGGGGCCCCTTCACTAACAATGGCAAGCGCCAGTGGGCAGCACTCACACATGCTAATACAGGTCAATTGTCAGGTCGGTGCTCACCTTATCCTTGTTTGCCAGTAGTTGGATGCCATTTTAAAGACTTGGATGGATGCCATTTCTTGGAACTTGGTGCATGGGTATGGTGGCGAGGTCAAAGGAATTTAATTAAATAAATTGTTTGCCACTGATATGGCAATGTCCCCCGCCGCTAAAGAATGGAATATCTATATTTACTACTTTATAATTTTTGGTCACATACAAGATGCCTGAAATGACTGGTGTCTGCATAATCACCCATGTAGGCTGTCAACATACTTGAAAACATTGCGTGCAATGTTTTATGAGACATCGCGTTTAAATAAGTTTGAAAAGTGATCAAAGTGCCGTGGTGACCTTGAAGATAACATCAATGTCACCCAAATCGACAGGTGTCTGCCTAATCCCCCAATGTGTAGACATTGGGTACAACAGTTCATGAGATATCACGTTAACGAGTTTGAAAAGTGGTCAAAGTGTCGTGGTGACCTTGAAAATAAGGCCAAGGTCACCCAGATCGACTGGTGTCTGGGTAATCCCCAAATGTAGGCTGTCACCAAATTTGAAGACATTGGGTACAACGGTTCATGATATATCGCGTTAAAAAGAATCGGTACGTATGTACGGACACCGCTGAATACATTGTCCCCCCCGTTCCGCGTTGCAGCGGGGGACAACAAATCACTGACACATGTTTTGATTTAAGAAACCATCGTAAAATCAACACTGTGGAACTGTAAAGCATAACTACATGAAGACGTCTGATTGGCATTTAGAAGCTGCTAAGCAACCACCGACAAGCAGACTTTACGGATGTCACATCATAACAGAACAAGACGACAAAGTCATCAATATCCCCTGCAACGGCAACGTCTCTTTATGAATATGCCTACTAGTTATGATTATTAACTGTTTAAACACTTGAAAATACGGACGCACTGACGGAACTCATTTCTATAATAAGTTGTCATCCACCCATTAAATATCTTCCTCGTTACATTAAGACAGCTGACTGGTGTATGTACCTTGTCTATGCAGGGCAGTACTCCCACCATCATGCTGTTGCCGAACACCTTGCCGTTTTTACTGAGAGCCTTCTTGGCCTGTATCTTGGACTGGTAGTGAATGTGCATCCAGTTTCCTTCCATGGAGGACTGCAACACAACATGTTCCAGACAAGTGCATTGACATACATCCATCCATCCATCCATCCATCCATCCAGACAGACAGACAGACAGGCACACAAAACTATTTATAAAGTGCTTTTTATCAATGTAATTGCTCAAAAGCGCTATCTGAGTCCACATTATCCATGTGCAGAGGTGAATAGGTGCGTCTTGAGTCCACTTTTAAAATTTGACAGTTCTATTTCGGAATGAAGGATGGATGGTAAATTGTTCCAGAGGAAGGGTCCTGCTCTAGAGAAAGACCTGTCCCCATATGACTTAGTTCTAGTTTGTGGTATTTCAAGGAGAGACTGGTCCCTTGAGCGGAGTGATCTAGTTGGGTAATATGGTGTCAGGAGATCCAAGAGGTATTTTGGAGCTAGACCATTTAAACACTTGAAAACAAGGAGCAGGAGCTTACAGTCAGCAAACATATTAAAAATTCATGCAAGTCCACTAATCAAAGACTACTAAATTGTGCTGAAGGCAAGAAATAATCTAATGACAATAGTCCTTATTGACAAGCAGCATTTGGGGTCCATATTCTGAACCATTGGCTTAATTTTGCTACTCACTGGAACTAGTTTAACATGGACACCTCTCAGAAACTGACTCCAAGCCAACCAGTCTTTGCTTCATCCCCTAATGGAAGGCAGGGTAACAACAAGTACCATCCCTTAACATCACTTTGACACAGCTGGCATTCCACTCTCTCTACCTATTGGACCACTGATCCCTTGTTGAAACATGAACTGATGTCAGTATAAAGCTAGTTTCCTTACCACATGCTTCATGATATTGCCATACTGTGAGAACTGCTGTACAATGAAAGACGTGGCAGCAGGCGGGAACCTGCAGAACAATCATGTAAAGATGTGCAAATTAAACCTGTGATATATATCTGCTTACTAAAGACTAAGGGTTCAAATGCCTTTTCGAAAATTCACCTGAAAAAGGACAATGAATATGAATGATAAAAGAAAAAGATAAGTGACAGTATTTCCAGATCCTTTATACTAATATTGATGACATGTGTAACCTTTCACCTATCAGCCCATTCTTTGAAGGTATTGTTAGGGTTAAACACTTTCAGACATTCGGGGTCATGTGTCACAAAGTTCAAACCTCCAAAATATTCACTTGTTCATGGTCAAGCAGTAACACCTTAGATTAGAAACTTGAAAAATGCACTTGACCCAATCATCAGGCAAATAGTGTTTTGAAGGACTAGAGCTGGTTAAGCTATGTGGATAGACAGAAATACTTTAGAGAGCTGATACTGCTTTGAGTTGCAGTGTCCTGACAACTAGGGTTGAGTGAGTGAGTGAGTGAGTTTAGTTTTACTCCGCACTCAGCAATATTCCAGCTATATGGCGGCGGTCTGTAAATCATCAAGTCTGGACCAGACAATCCAGTGATCAACAGCATGAACATCGATCTGCACAATTGGGAACAGATGACAAGTGTCAACCAAGTCAGCGAGCCTGACCACCCGATCCCGTTAGTCGCCTCTTATGACAAGCATAGTCGCCTTTTGTGGCAAGCATGGGTTGCTGAAGACCTATTCTACCCCGGATCTTCACGATTCCAACTAGGGTTGAGAATATTGCTACAAATGTACCTTGCCGAAAAACAAAACTGAGCCTGATGTGAGGTGAGTGAATACACGATCCACAAGGCTACCCAACTGCCACAAGAGTAACAAGTAAAGAAATCACCACAATGTTTATGCGTATAATACAGATTTCAACAATTTACAAAGTGTATGATATGTGAGTCATACCCAAAAACTGTGACCCATGTTTCATCAAGAATGTCCTCTGCCTTCAGGCTATCCCTACAAAAAACAAGGATTAAAGTTACAAGGGCAATATTCCAGCTATATGGCGGTGGCCTGTAAATAATCGAGTCTGGACCAGACAATCCAGTGATCAACAACATGAGCATCGATCTGCGCAATTGGGAACCGATGACTTGTCAACCAAGTCAGCGAGCCTGACCACCCGATCCTGTCAGTCGCCTCTTACGACAAGCATGGGTTACTGAAGATCAATATTCTAACCCGGACCTTCACGGGTCGTTACAAGGGCTGAGTCTTGACCAAAATAATATTCTGCAGTATACTGCCATATGTGTGTCTATATTGAGATCCATATTCCACTACATTGGGAGCTCAATGAGTAAGCGAGTTCGGTTTTTACGCTGCTTTTGGGGGACACCAGAAATGGGCTTCACACATTTGTACTAACGTGTAGAATCGAACCCGGGTCTTCGACATGATGACCGAAAGCTTGAACCACTAGGTGAGGTGAGGTGAAATTGTGTGTTACGTCGTGCTTGAGAATATTTCGCTCATATGACGACGTGCATGCGTGTGTATGTGCGGCTGCTTGTACTAGCCCAGACTTAAGCTGGTTTTATAGTGCTAGCCCACTGAGATACCATGCCACAGCGAAGCATGAATACCCCACTCAGACACATTATACTGACTCCAAGCAGACCAGTCCTTGTTGTACCCATTAATGCCGAGCGCCAGGCAGGGACCAACAAGTAGCATATTTCAACGTCTTTTGGTATGACGCGGTCGGGGATCGAACCCGCGACCTTCCGTTCTCCGGGCGGACGCTCTAACCACTACACCACGGAGGCGGTCTTGAACCACTAGGCTATCCCACAGCCCCTCGGGGGGCTCAAGTGTCATTGACATTGATTTTACATGTTTATAAAGATCCTATATCCTACATACATACTATTATTAAATATAGTCAGTCGCTACCATTTTGTAGTCATGGATACAGGGGAGATAACAATGTGAGAGAAAAATACACTTCTGCAACAAATTTGTTTCTCAATTTTGAAGGAAAACATGCAACATAACTATTACTTCCACTGCCTACCCTTGTGTGTAGAATGGGTCCATCTGTGCAGGGGATGTAGGGATTTTGGAGGGAGGAACGATGAAACTTTCCCCGGCAGGTCTGGGTGTTGTAGCACCAGGAAATAAACCTGCAAGTACATAGATACTGTCCACCATCATAGCTTAAACAGCTTCATCTGTTTGCTTACTGTTTCACACAAGATGCACTATTCAATCTATATGACTGTCACCTTTAAGTAATCGAGTCTAGGCCAGACAATCTAGTGATCCATGCAATGGGCAATGTTGTCAAGATACAATGAAATGCTATCAACCAAGTCACTGAAACTTCCAACATGTTCAAGAAATGATCAAAATTACATGTATTTGATATCATATCAATTGCAACAAGACAGTAAAGGCTAACCAATCAATCATAAAAAACAACAACTAATTATCGAAATGCTTGATTACCCAGGGCTCGAAAAATTGTAAAATTTGCGTATATAATCGATGCATCGATAGTTTGTCTGACTATCGATGGTTTAGTAATTGACTTCCGTTGATAAATGCGCAGTGCAAAAGACAGGATGTTTGGGTGCAGATTTGCAGCTTCATTGAGTTTATGTTTTAACTGTTTATCTGAACTGGGTTTCAAGTTTCTTGGCAGTTATTAAAAGAGACTGCAACTATTTCAACTAGTTTTATTTCATATAAACTATCCATTCATTTGAATCAAGTGAGACAATTCAAGGAGAAAAACTATTGCAATAGTATAACAATAGTTGGTCAAAATAGACTATCGCTATCGCAATAGTACGGTGCAATAGAATATCGCTATCGCAATAGTTGTTTCCCCCTCAAAATTCACCCCTACCGCTAAGTGTATTTCTTTACCTGAGGTAGGTGGTCCAGGTGACACGCCCCGGGAAGCGGGTGTGGCCGTGGTTCTAGATGGCACCTGGGATGTAAAAGACTGGAACAAAGTAAAACATCATTACAACAGATGCAATGATTAGACTTGAGTCACATTACAGCATTTAACCGGCATGCCTCTCTGACTATCCAATCCACTAAGTCATATCTTACAACCCGCACAGGTTGCTTCAGACTTTACCAACAGTCCGTTTGAGACAAAATGATACCGATGAATTGCAATCTAACACAAAAACAAATAGACATAAAAGAATCAAACTAACGCGGACTGCAATAAACACAACAGACCAACTCTAGAAAAAAATGGCATAATTTGTTTTAGAAACTGTCATCATTTATTTGTGCGTTTTCCCAGTTTGTTACAAGGGCGCATTGGCAACTAAAGGAACAGCGTGAAAAGCGAGTGCTACATGTGGTCTCACCTTAGGAAGTGAGGTTGTTCAAAATTGCCTCTGTTCACCCAGCAGAAAATGGGTACCCAGTGAAATAGGTCTGAGACTATTAACCTTCTAGCGCAGGCAGCTTGGGTTATACGGGGTAATAATGATCAGATTGTGCACTTTGAGCAGGATGTAAGCCTGGAAAAGGCGTGTCATAAATATTCTCATTATTATTAACACGATGACTCCTCCACCATGTTGTGTGCACCCTGATTTACCTGACTGCCGGGGGTTGAATAACTGACGTCTGCTCCAGGGCTCAGGAATAAACTTTTGACAGGAGGAGCACCACCCTTGTCTTTTGTTCTGGATAAATCTCTGTAATCAGGAGGAAACAGTGGACTTCCACAGAAGAGATGAGTGAGCATGCAGTTGGAGAGAGTGAGAGTAGTTTTACAACGCACTCAGCCATATTCCAGCTATATGGCAGCAGTCTGCAAATAATCAAGTCTGGACCAAACAATCTAGTGATCAACAGCATGAGCATCGACCTACGCAATTGGGATACGATGACATGTATCAACCAAGTCAGCAAGCCTGACCCCCCGTTAGTTGCCTCTTATGACAAGCATGGGTTGCTGAAGACCAATTCTAACCCAGATCTTCACAGGTATCATGCAGTTGGAAGAGGCATCATATCATGTGTCAGAATATGTTCAAATACAGATGCATGTTCAATAATAAATTGCTGCAATGACACTGGGTAAGAATCTCTTCAAGATCAGGGTGTTCTAAGCTGAACATCTTATAACCAATCCGTTTCACTGCTGTGAATATATACTACTCAAAATAGTTCAAGAACACTACTTCATGGCACCATAATTTGACAACAATAATGTGGAAGATGTAGGTGTTCTTCATGTTACTGTAGTTACTTAGCACTGAGTCGATTACTGTACATGTACGACATCAGAGATGCCAACCCTGAATCTAAGGAAAACAGAGTCATGACTGGCTGAAAGCCTGGCCTCAGCACCAAAGGTGCGAGTAGGGGGTGAGCGCGTGGTCGGCTTTTCCATTTTGTTTCACTTCATGGACTATGACATGCATTCGGAAAAACTTTGTGAAACTTCATCGTCAACAACCCGCAATATACACAATCGACACCCAAAGGATCACATGCTGAGCTTCTGAATGCTTTTTACCAGTGTTCACTCAAATAAATAAAAAATAAAATAAAATTGTATACCGTAAAAATACATTCAGATTTTTTTCTCAAAAATCAGAGTTTTTTTAAAGAGAAATCGGAGAGCAGATTTTGTCTTTGAAATTGGAGTAACTCCGTGAAATTCGGAGTGGTTGGCATCTCTGCAACATTATAACATGTACAACAGCAAATGGCAACTTTGGAATAATTCCTCTCATTACTGTTTCACCATATTTGATTTGTAACGAAGTATTATTTAATATGAATTCACTACATCATGCCTACAGTTAAATTTGTTCAAAAAGGACAATCCAATTTCAACCAAAGTCATAAAATAATGTCATCCTTGCACAACAAATCCCCCACCCCATCTCCCCAGAATTGGCAATCATCAGCAGGACTGACCTGGGGGTCCCTGATGCGGCTCCCCCAGGGGGTGAGGTGAATGAAGGGTTCTTCTGGGGACTGTGACCCCCTGTGGACCAAAGTCTCGGACCAGCTGGCTACAATAAAAGAACTGTTATGCAACACCGAGAATGTTGGCCATGAAATCAAATATTGGTAATCAAATTCAATGATGATTCCAGTGATTGTACTAGAGAAACGGCAGTAGTTTTTCTGTACAGTTATGAATTTACCAGTACACTGGAGAAGCAACACTTTACAGTACCGATACATTCAATACTTTGAATAGATTGGGTTCACATTTTTATGGGAACACAGCCTATTTTACCAATTAAGAACCATCAATAACCAGTAAATAGATAAACTTTGATCAGGAGATTTTTCATGGTTTTATGATCTTTCTTCTATATCATACTGGAAAGATATATTCTGAACATTTTGGATGACAATCAGTCAATGTCCTAGAATTGTAACCAGTCTCAAACAATATTTCAAAAGCATCCTTATAAGAACAGAACTACAAAACTAATGTGGCCTGTGCCTTGTGTAAATCGAAAGCACAAGAATATTTTACCCGTATAACACAATATTTCAAAAGCATCCTTATAGGGCAGAACTACAAAACTAATGTGGCCTGTGCCTTGTAAAAATCAAAAGCACAAGAATATTTTACCGGCATAACACCAAGCAGATAAGAAAATTAAAATATTTATCTGAAACAATTAATTGTCCACACAAAAATTATGTCATGTGACTTGTAAATTACTGAGTTACAAAAAATTGACATATAAAACACTAAGTAATTTAATTGACGTGTATCAGACAGCTCATGTGAATATCATTTCAAAGATGATTTAAATTTTCTAATTACATGCCGAAACTACAAAAATATTAGACACAGTATGTATATTTACATCCATAGCAATAACCTAAAAACATTATTACACGACAACTCTTCAGCCAAGGATTATACAATCAACATGGAAAGTCTTAAAGCAGTCCACGATTTTATTGTAAATGTAAAAGATTTCAAATACTTATTGCATAAAATTCTGAAATTTAGTTTCTACATTAATTAACTTGAACACCACTAACTCACGGTGACTGATCTCTTTTAATTTTATGCATCGTACCTGTGTATATATACAAAAATGAAATGTTTATATGAAACTACCAACTGTACTCTGTTTTTCCTGAAGTGGTATTATATAAACAATATTTCACTTGTTTACTAATACACATTTTGTTCATGTAATAAAAATATGTTTAAACCAACAAACCGATATTCCATGTTGAACACTGTCTCCCAATAGGTATCCTGGCAGATATTGGTGGGTTCCAGGACTGCTAGGGGATGCTAACATTGGTTCTGAAATAAATAGTTTTATTCAGTACATATAGTACCATGAAGACAGCCTGTTTCAGTGGTAAAATACATGTCTACGGAAGATAACGCTAAGTTAATGAGAAACAATGCTTCATGGTCTGGTGCTCATTTCCTGTCTTGGCCAATGTGTAATTACCAGACTAGCAAATTAGTACCATCTGTTACAGTGAGACATTGTGTCAGTGTTACTAGGGTAGGTTAATGGACATCATAAGGTGCAAGTTGCCATACAAAATATAAGCAGTTTATGGAGTTCTTGACATCAGTTAAAAACTATCGGTTGACAGGATCTGTCAGTTAGTTCTCACATTCAAAATCATTTGCTGTCATCACAGAGTTATGTTCTTGTTCTAAGTTGGCAAATGTAATTAATACCCAAACCATCAATTCAGTAATTAAACAAAACTGTTTGGTAAGAGTTCCTCCCATTCCCCCATCCCAAATAATATCTATAAATGAATATATACTAAAATTATTCAGGGCTCCAGATAAGGGCTGTATCGGCGTATGTACGGATATAAAATATGCATGATACGGTAGGAAATAATTAAGAAAACATAGGAAATACGCACTATAGCAATGGTCTAAGATCATTTACAGACATATTTTTTTTAAAGTATTGTTTTATTGTTTATTGACCTGTTTAGATAAGAGTAGCAATGCTGTGGTGCATATAAGAAACAAAACACAAGATTACTGATACTCCTGTAATTCCAACTAGTACAGTAACTCTAAATGAATTCTTAAGGTTTTCCAGTACTCTTCTGTTGAAAATATAAGGAGTATGTACTCCTGATGTTGAAAAATTATCTGGAGCCCTGTTATTAACAAAACCTAACACAACTATTACTAGAGAACCCACAAAAGTAACTAAAAGCCCGAAAATTGATTACAATATATAAAGTCAATCCACCTTACGTTACCTTGCGCAAGAAAGAAGTGGGCAAACATATGGGGAACGGAAGGAACTCTTTCCAATTGTTTCCTATATAAATGATAATGCTGAGACTTATCATCCATAATGTATATAATCGCTGGTAAAAAACCCAACATATTAACAGATCATAGGTTTTCAGACATCCTTTATTCTGACAGCAGTGCTCTATCAGCCCATGATGAGGGGTGTTGCATCACAGACACAGTAACCTCTTGAATAATGGCTTGTGTTTAAGATAAAGTTCTCTCTTATACTAATTATAAGTTATAGATTGGTCACAGTTGTACACTTGTAAATGCGATAATCAAGACAACCACAGATGTTCTTACAGAGTCTAAAACCCATATGAGGACACAAGCTTATTGCAAAGACACACATAGGTATATTCATTTTGCTGACAGCAGAGTTGAAAGATTTGAATACTGTTTTCTTTGTACATAATCTAAATGCATGCCAAATCATGCATCTGCTAGGGAGACACCATTAGTCACCAAATGCATGGTGACATTTCAATGAAATTGTATATTTTATTCTGAACAGATTTTGCGATCAATAGAAATGCTATTTATGACATAGTTGTTACGCGTGTGAACAACATCAAACAGAAATTAATTCTTTGTATAATATAATATAAAGATAAAAACAGAAAAGTTGGAAAGTCATGGCATGACACATGGTAGGTTCTAATTTCACGTCAGAACAAGTGAAAATTCCTGTTTATTCTCCTTTTTGTTAAATGTTTCATACAATCTATTCGGAGGAGACAAGGGTATAATTACCATGTAAATCTGCTGATGCGGAGAACATTATTAAACACAAACAATTTAACAGAATCTGTGAAACTAATATGTTGGGAATATAACGAGAGAAAGTCAAGTTTTCGAAATTGGCGGAAGTTCGAGAATCCAATGTGCGCATGTCCCTCAAAATATTTCCGGAATAGTAGGGTACTATTATCAACGCAACTATTAAAATATGTGCAGATCATTTCAAAATTTGTATTTGTATGTATTTTATTTCAAAAATGATCATAATAATTATTACTGGTTATAGTGATTGGTTATATGTATTATTTCTTTACTTACTTTTCTGATTTAAAAAATGTATCATGACGAGTTTAAACCACATACCTTTGTGGTGTTTTTACGATAATAGCTCTCAGAAATCTACCTGTAGCAGCCGATGCCCAAAATAGAGAACGGCATCAGGTTACAGACATGTGTTCTTAACGCTCCCTGCACGCTGGTTCTGTGGCAGATCATCACCGACGCTGCATTCTTCACTTGGAGCAGTATTCCGTCGAAATTACAAGTAAGTAAGTTTATCTTCAACGATATGTACCTGAAATACTGAAGTTATGCCAACGTTGGGCACACTAAACTTTAGTGCTTGTTGATTAGTTTTGGTAACTTTGAAGATTTCCAGTGCATGGAATTTCAGACCGGATTCGTTCAGCCACAGACAACGTATCATGTCCCCGACACGCTTCGGAACCGTTGAATATTTCACCAGCATCGGTTCTGTCGGTGATTTTCGATCAGTTGTTGACCAATTATTTACCAATTATTGTTTGTGTTGGGATATTGTGAATCTCAGTTGACCATTTGTTTGAGTTTATGTCATAACGCAGGTGTAAATATGTAAGACTGATAGAACATTCGCGAAACACGCGTTTAATTAACTGGTGACAATGTTAATGTTCCTAATGGTGATGATACGGTGTTTTGTTATAGTATTTGTGTATTTATGCAGTGTGATGTTTTATTATAAACATTACCAAGTCGTGTGATGGATATTTGAGAAGAAGAGTTGAGTGAATTTGTAGGTGCTGGATACAACATGGTTAACATATAAAGTAATGCCACATGCTGCATGTCCTGTGATTATTTTAACTTTGCGTTAAGATTTGTGTCTGCCATTGAACATTAGCTGTAACCAAATAGGCTGCATGTGCTTCAAATATGTAAGTTGTAACCATGGAGGTTTAAAAAGGATTTGGACATTCTGACTGGTTGGCATTCAGTCTACTGTAACCAAGTTGAAGTTAAATGCCACCATGGTTACTGTAACCATGGTAAATATTATTATAGATCTAGGCATATGTCAAATTCCATATTTCTTTATGTGTATACTAATTTCTCTCTGTAGTAAATGGGGAGTATCCATAAGGGGACTACATTATAGTCCTCTATTGTATGAACACTTTAGAGCTAAGGATGAGTAAGAAATAGGGTTTGGTTTATTGCGACTTTCAGCACCTTTAGCATTATTCCCTGCATATCATGGCAGGGGACATTAGGGGTGACAACTGGGTTCACACAAGGGCCTCAAAAGTGGGAGCTAAGTATGAGAAGCCAATGCTTTATTTACTGGGCTACCCCACAGACCCTAGGAACTGGGTATTCAGGGATAGAGTTGTTTCCTCTTACCACTGAAAGTATGTCATTTACATTTGGATTTGAGTACCATTTTTACCATGTTTACCTTTGTCTATTTTGCTCGTAAAATATAATTGATGAAAATGTCAAAACAACACCTTTTGTGAACAGAAAAACATTATGTTTGCATTTTTATGTACAATTTCTTATTATTGTAATGCTCATAATAGTTTTGTCATGTGTACATAGTGTATGTGTCACAAGATTTGAAATTTGGACAACTTTGATAATGAGCTCTTTAAGTTCCTGGTGGTATAACTATAGTCATAAAGTGTTCTTTTGCTTATTCGGTGTAGTATATATCATGGTAAATTTTAACATTTTATGGCTTAATTTTATCCAAAATTTGATGTTCAATTTCATGTGATTATTTATGTCAATTAACAGTTAATTTCTTCTGTTGGGTTTAGGAACAGGCTAGGGGACAGTCCAGCAGCTACGATGGTTATAGTCATTGACTTGGAGGAGGAGGAGGCAAAGAAAGCAGCAGAAGCCGCAGCAGCAGCAAAACAGACAACTGCTACAGCTTCACCAAATGGCAATGGTTCAGGACAACCTGGTGGAGATAAAAATGGAAAATCAGGAAAGAAGCCACAGCCAGTGCCCACAGGACCTCAGCATAGCAAAGGAAAGCCAGATATTGCAGGTGGAGAGGGAGCAGCAGCTGGTGTTGCAGAATCTCCACCTACCCAGAAGTCCAGTGATCCTGATACCAAAAGGAAAGAGGACACTGTAAAAGATTCCAAGCCTAATCCACAGCAACCCAAGAGTATGCCAGCTGAAACTAACCCTTCCAAAGGAAGAGATGGCAAGGCTGGCAAAGATTCAAAAAGTTGAAACCACTAAAGCCACTCCATCATCAGATAAGGCTTCAGCTGGAGCCAAAAGTGAACCTGGAGGAGCCTCTGTTTCAAAGGATAAAGTTGCTGATGGGAGCAAGACAAATTCACAGCCAGCAAAAGGTTCAATAGATTCTGCCAGTGGAAGCAAGGGTAAGCAGCAACAAGCGAAAAGGGTCAGATGCTGAAAAGGCTTCTTCCAAAGGAAAAAATGCAGCCAGTAGCAAAGATAAGCTCAAATCATCACTAGAAACTGATAAAACTGCTTCAAAAGGTAATGGTACTAATTCCAAGAGTACCAAGAGTACACCACAACATTCAAAACCTGCTGGAACAGATAAACCTGCGTCTGAAAGCAAAGATACTGTTGAAAGCAAGCCAAAAGTCCTTCTTCGACTGACAAGCCTACTTCAAAAGGAAAAGAAGTCAATTCACAATCTCAGGCATCAAATGTTGCATCTCCCTCTAAGACGAAAGATACTACAGAAAAAGAAGGGAAAAGCCGAAGTCAGAAAGCTTCAGCTAAAAGCACCTAATCCAGCAGTAAGATCAAGAGAAATCTTCAGCTAAAACACTTGACCAGTCATCACCCCAGAATTGAGCAGTAAAGAGAAATCTTCAGCTAAAACACTTGACCAAGTATCACCCCCAGAATTGAGCAGTAAGGGTCAAGAGAAATCTTCAGCTAAAACACTTGACCAAGTATCACCCCCAGAATTGAGCAGTAAGGGTCAAGAGAAATCTTCAGCTAAAACACTTGACCAAGTATCACCCCCAGAATTGAGCAGTAAGGGTCAAGAGAAATCTTCAGCTAAAACACTTGACCAAGTATCACCCCCAGAATTGAGCAGTGAGGGTCAAGAGAAATCTTTAGCTAAAACACCTGACCAAGTATCATCCCCAGAATCATTCAGTAAAGGTAATGGGAAATCTTCAGCTAAAACACCTGACCAAGTATCACCCAAAGAGTCAACTGAAGCATCAAACCAAGTATCACCAACCCTCGAGTCAAGCAGTAAAGAGAAACTGAAGGATGAGTTATCGGTAACATCTTCCCAGGAGAAGCCACCTGAGCTGGCAGCAGAGAGTAATCCTGCATCCAAGAAACCAGTGACAGAGGAGGCAAAGAGTGAACAGCAACAACAACCACAGGGCACTGCTGGACAGAAGGTACCTGAGGGTGCTGAGTCCAAAGTCCAAACATCGGATGTCTCTGATACTAAAGAAGCAGTGGCTGAGACTAAAGACCCTGACAGTGCACCATCAGAAAATCCACAAGTGAAGAAAAAGTCCAAGCCAGCATACTCCAGTTTCTCCTCATCTCTTATGGCCCCTACTTTAACAACATGGGTGAAGACTGTCCGTGAAAGACTTAGTCGGAAAGGCCAGCTTGATAAAATCCTGGATAGCTTTAAGAAATGTATGACAGATGAAGAAAGGGTTGCATGTTTGTACAATATTGAAGATGTCCATGAGGTTCTTAATGTGAAGGAGACCTACAAGGCTAAAGATGAAGATGAAGCAAAGGATCTGAGAATCCAAGGGAACCTAGCTTTCCAAAAGAAGGACTATGATGCTGCTCTCAAGCTGTATTCTGACTGTATTATTAATGCCCCTTCAAAAGGAAGCACTGAACTAGCCCTTGCATTGGGCAACAGATCTGCTGTGTTATATCATTTGCACAACTATGTCCTTTGTTTGCAAGATATCCGACAAGCTTTCAAGCACAGTTATCCAGACCATCTGCAGTATAAGTTGTATGAACGCAGAGGAAAAGCTTGCTATGCACTTCGGTTGAAAGAGGAGGCCATCTGTGCATTTAACGATTCTCTTAATGTTCTGGACAAGACTCAACTAGATCAAAAGAAAGTTGCCACTTTGAAGTCAGATTTGATGAAGCAGTTGGAAAAGTGTAACAAAATTGTTCCAGGAGGAAAATTTAAGAATGTTCGTGATTACAACCACAACCATACACAGATTCCAGAGTTTAAAGAAAGTCGAAGTTCCCACATCCCATGTATGGTAAATTCACTTGTCATGAAGTCTACAGATGGTCATGGAAGAGGTCTGTATGCAACCAGAGACATAGAAGTAGGGGAGGTGTTGATAATTGAGAAACCATTCACATCTGTCACCCTCAGGGAGTACAACCTGACACATTGCCATCACTGCTGCAACAAAGTGTATTGCCCATTGCCTTGCGACCAGTGCAGTGGTGTGGTTTTCTGTAGTGAGGAGTGTCTGGACACAGCGATGAAGTCCTACCACTATGCAGAGTGCAAATATCATGATCTTATCCAGAGATCTGAGCTTGGTATGGCACACTTGGCCTTGAGAATGGTGTTGAAAGTTGGACAGAAGTTCCTACGGGAGTACCAGAAGAAAGCAGAAGAGAAGATGAGTGATCCTCTTCTCCTTGGCTGCAATGAGAATGGTGTGTATGATTCAGATGATTATCATTCGGTGTATAATCTGGTGAACCACACTGATGACAGGTCATGTCCAGATTTGTTCAGAAGGGCTCTTGGTGCTGTGTTCTTGGTGAAATGTATTGAGAAGTCTGAATTCTTCGCTGCTGCAGAAGGTGCTGAAGATAGTGATGTTGATGAGGAGGCGGTTTATGTTGGTGGACACATCCTTAGACATACACAGATGCTTCCTTGCAATGCTCATGAAGTGTCTGAGCTTCTGTACAAAACATATAGTGTTGAAATGTCAGAGCCAGTTGAAATTGGATCAGCTATCTATTCAACATTAAGCTTGATCAACCATTCTTGTGATCCGTCAGTTGTCCGACATTTATATGGAAACCAATGTGTTGTACGGGCAATACGAAACATATCCAAAGGAGAAGAAATATTTGACAATTATGGGGTCCTGTATCCAGTCACAAGTAAGCAGATGCGTCAAGAGAAGCTGGTTGCACAGTATTACTTCACCTGCAACTGCTATGCCTGTGTAAGCAACTGGCCAATGTATAACAAAATCAGAAGAGAAGATCCAGTATTGAAGTGTAAGAAATGCAAGATTGGCAGAGTCCGAATCCCACCAGACAACCACACAACTCGAGCCATATGCTCTGACTGCAGAGAGGTGATGGACATCACACCAGACCTGCTCCATCTGTCAAAGTCGGAGCAGTTCTTCCAAGGCAGCATGGACAAGGTGCTTAAAGGAGAGGATAGGGACGCAGCATTACCGTTCCTTGTTGACCATCTCAAGCTGATCGACACCCTCCTGTTTCGACCATGGAAGGACTACAATGACTGTCAGGAGGCCATAAAGCAGTGCTATGGAAGTATGGGAAACTGCCATGTTGTGGAGGAACCGGATGAGGATGACGAGGAGCTTATGATGGGACAGAGAAGAAACCTCAGACCAACCTAGACTGACTGCATAGTTATGTCATGTTGTTATTAGGGTATGTGGGAGGTGTCGTTTGACATCCTACCTAATATCTTGACAAGATTGAAAATTTGTTATGAATATATAATCTTTGGAGGGTCATTAACAGAAAAATTTGAAGGTATACTTCCCATCAAAAGTTTAGACTCACTTAGAGAACTCACTATATGTTATGTATATAATACATGGTTACATCGAAGATTGATTTCTCCACTAACTTGGGGAACCAACTGCAAACCTTATACAAATGAATTGCATGAGGATCATGCATCACATTGCTGAAAAAGCATGTGCAAATATCGTGAATTTGTACAGCTGCGCTTTGGTGTTAAGTTTTGTTAAGAATTCGCCAATTTTCACTTAGTTTCATCATTTATTAATCTCATGACAATAATCTTTTCAACGTTGCGAATTTGTTTTACAATACACCAGTTCATGTGTAAACAGTTCCTTTAAACATTATGGAATATTTTGCAAAATGTAGTTTACAACAGTCCCCTGAAGTAAGTGGCTATATTTACACTAGTGAGTCTAAACTTTGATGGGTAGTATATATAGTGTTGCAATTTTTTTACATTATAATAGCTGACAATAAGAAGAGTCCATGGGTCCACCAAACCATTCATTTCTAATAATCACAGATCAGAAGGACCCATGGTGATAATCTGAATTTTTTATAGGACCTGGACCCCATTCCACAAAGCAACTGTTTATGCTAACAGATCATAGAGCCCACACACTGACATTAAACAGCCCTAGAAGTCAGATAATTAAGAAGTCGGTTCTGAGTCATTATACTGTGTCCGAGTACAGTATCTATGTAAGACTGCAGCATGGTGTTAGTGGGTGAGCACAATAAAACCAACATTAGTGACATTAAACCAACATGCATGAATTCATGCATGCTTGTTATAAAGTATAATAATCTTGTACGGAATTGTAAGTCCATTTTATCTAATACTGAGCATAGCACTAACAATGAACATGATGACATCGTCACTATGATGTCATAGATGACATTGTCTCTATGATGTCATAGATGACATCATCTCTATGATGTCATATAAGTGCCTGAGGAAATGTTATATTGATATAACATTTGCAAGATTTTCATAATCATGACTGATATTTAAGAAAATATTTATGAAGTATTTTGTATGTACATAGATGTTTTTAAACATGTTATTTGATAAGTTATTTTCCCACAAAGCTGGTATTTGTGGTTGGTTTTGAAAATGTAGATTAGTTGCTTGATTTATTGTTATTGTACATTTAGTCACTGCCTATAGAATACCGCACATATCAGTAGTTATCAGTGGACTCTTTAAGGAATAAGGAACAAAAGTGGTTCAAGTAATAAGTGTATGATATTTAACAAATTTAGGCGTTTTCTAAACCAACAGGTCATTTAAAAACTATTACTAATTTAGTCTGAATGTCAGTTTTTGTAAATGAGATACTATTGTATCAGCTGTTTGTTTTCACACATTGCAGCAATACTGGTACTGACATTTTGCACTGATAATGCCATTTTATTTTTGTGCAATATTAGTTTTTGTTTTCATCGTGTTCTCTGTTTTCATCGTGTAATTTTTGAAGTCATAAGACAACTTTGTGCACCAGGGATTGTTTCTTTGATGTGTGATCGTAGTGATTTGACCATACTTCCACCATACTGTACACTTTCTTTATAATCATATCATTTATTCAGATTTGATACCTCTGTGTAAATCTAATGGAACCCCATCAGAGCTTGCATTGGGGAACCCTGAGCATACTTTGACCACCCATCCAAAGGAAGAAATCATGGGTCTAAATATCTGCATGCAAAAACAATGTAAGTTAATTTCTTAACCACCTTGAAATGGAAATTTTTATCTTAGCAAAAGAAACATCACAGAAATACTTCGTTAAGTCTCGATAATACATCCTCTTTGATAAGGGGCGGTGGGGTAGCCTAGTGGTTAAAGCGTTCGCTCGTCACGCCGAAGACCCGGGTTCGATTCCCCACATGGGTACAATGTGTGCAGCCCATTTCTGGTGTCCCCTGCCGTGATATTGCTGGAATATTGCTAAAAGCGGCGTAAAACCATACTCACTCACTCACTCACTCTTCAATAATGATTGTCATGGTGTTCATAAGGAGTAGGACACATAATTAATAGCCCAGGTTTCTGTTTTGTGGCCAGGATTCCCAGATTATATTCATTTTTGAGACACAGAAAAAAGAGATGCTTGTTTGAATAGTTTACATATGATCTCCTTTGGAGGTGGCTCAATATGTTCACAATATTTTCAGGTGTTAAGAAGAGTCATTGTAAATGGAAGTGCATTGACCAGAGTAACCAAATTCATATTCATATAGAAAATATAATAAGGGAGATGAGTGGAAAGATTGGGTATCAGACACCCTCAGGTAACAGAGGTATCATATCGTGATAAGAGTGCATTTGATGAGATTGACTCATTGTATTGCTGTTTGGATTCTGATAGCTCTTGTTTTTGTGTGAGTGTGAATGCATGCTGTCCTGAATCAAGATTGTATTAAATTATGACATTTGAACTGCAGTATTCAATATGTGTGGTGTTTTGAGGTGTCATGGTAGTAGTAACTCTATGAAATATTATCTTCATTGTGCTGAATCTCAAACATGAATAATATTCAATGGGTAAGCATAACGAATTATTATATTAATTTAGTCTGTTATCATGGTTCAGACAACTCATTATGTAACAGATGATATGGTCCACAAGAGTCTCTGAATTCAAGAGTATTTTAGTAGTTAGCTCCCTTTGTGTAAAATCAAGAGTTACATCCCTTTATTCAGGGATCTGGACTCTGGATCTCGATTGTATTTTTGTTTCCATTGATCTTTATTTGCACTGAAACTTATATGTAAGCTTAATCCTTTTTGTGAGAATACCTATATTCTTATAACATGGTAAATTTACATAATAAATACCAACTGATTTTTATTTTTCATAGGTCTCATTCTGTTGATACCTGCCTATTTATACACTGTATTTTCACAATATACCTGTTTGGGTAAATACTACTAAACAGGTACATTGTTGGTGCTATTTGTGAACAGATCAGATGATGATGTGCCTCTTTGTGAAGCTCATACCTCAGTGCCATTAAACATAGAAATTGTGATTACGATGTTTTGTATTCATTATTATACCCCCGCTACAAAGTTTCATTTTTTGCTGTTCCATGGAAACATGACTTGCTGGATGGTTATCTTGTCCGGAGCATATCACTGAAACTATACATGCTAGGTTCACCAAACTTAACACACACATTAATCATGACCAACAGATGAGCCTTTGCTATTTTAAAGTTGATCAGAATTTAATTTATTGCTGTTTCCATGGAAACATGACTTGATGCAGAATGTGTTTGATGGTTTTCTCTGAAGCTATACATGCCAGGTCCAATTATTAATGTAATCAGTAAATGGCAAAATTATTATCTAACATGTACATAAGTTTGTTGGAGTCAAGGAGAAGTCTTGTGAGCTGCTGATCCTTGTCACATTATATATATCAATATCTGTAATTTCCATGTCCCAAATTAGGAAGTGGGGTATGTGAGCTGTACTCACTCATACACTTGTTTGCACTTTAACTATTTCAGTTGTTCAGTGAAGTTGCCGGGCGGTGGGGTAGCCTAGTGGGTAAAGTGTTGGCTCGTCATGCCAAAGACCCGGGTTCGAATCCCCACATGGGTACAATGTGTGAAGCCCATTTCTGGTGTCCCCCGCCGTGATGTTGCTGGAATATTGCTAAAAGCGGGGTAAAACCAAACTCAGTCAGTCAGTCTGTGAAGTTGCCCTAGTTGTCCCTGAGAGCACTGAATAGGGCCTCATGACCCCATGTCTTTCCTGAATATAGGCTTGGGTGTCATAGTAATCCAGCTGCTCTTGCAGGGTTTCTTTATGATATAGCTGGAATATTGCTGATTTTGTAGAAATCAACAACCGATCACTCATTCAAATAAAACAAAGAAATATGTGGAGCCTGATATCCAGAGTTTGTGGTCTAAAATAAAACTTCATTGACGTAGGGGATTCTGAACATGAACCTGAGGAAAATCAAGACTGAATTTTGGGTAACAGAATGGGGCTTGGTGGAAGAGAAAATAATATGGTTCAGGGACTAAGATACAGACTAACCCATAGTCCATTAGAGTAATGTTAACTCCTGACAACTAGAACCACTGTCAATTTAAGATTCTTCCTCAGAAAACAAACATATCATATTTAGATTGAATATGGGGTTTGAACCCATGAGATCTTAGTACAGGTTGTAGTGTTCACTTACAGTGGATTTTTATCATTGAACCCATACAGGGTCTGTCCATAGCATTCACTACATCAACGTGACAATCTGAACACATTCTATGGTGTCCCAAGAACACCCACTACAGGGCAATCTGAACACATACAAGGTGTGCCCGTGACACTCACTGCGTGATGATCTGAACACATACAGGGTGTCCCAAGAACACTCACTACAGGGCAATCTGAACACATTCTAGGGTGTCCCAAGAACACTCACTACAGGGCAATCTGAACACATTCTAGGGTGTCCCAAGAACACTCACTACAGGGCAATCTGAACACATTCTAGGGTGTCCCAAGAACACTCACTACAGGGCAATCTGAACACATTCTAGGCTGTCCCAAGAACACTCACTACATGGCAATCTGAACACATACAGGGTGTCCCAAGAACACTCACTACAGGGCAATCTGAACACATTCAGGGGTGTCCCAAGAACACTCACTACAGGGCAATCTGAACACATTCAGGGTGTCCCAAGAACACTCACTACATGGCAATCTGAACACATACAGGGTGTCCCAAGAACACTACAGGGCAATAACACATGAGGGTGTCAATCTGAACACATGACAGGGTGTCCCAAGAACACTCACTACAGGGCATCTGAACACATACAAGGTGTGCCCATGACACTCACTCACTGGGGGCGATCTGAACACATACAGGTGTGCCCATGACACTCACTGCGTGATGATCATGGGTGTCCCCATACACACTCATCTGAAACACATGCAGGGTGTCCCCAAGAACACTCTCACTACTCTGACTAC